AGGCGGTTTCCGTGAGGCCGTGGTATCACTTCGATCAAGCTTGCCCATTTGTAACCATTTGTATTCTCTTTTCAATATACACGTTATATTTCTTCTTCATCAGCCTATCGCTGGGCTATTGCTGGACATAGGCCTCTCCCATTGCACGCCACTTAAGTTGATTTTCGGCTTCTTGCATCCAGCTCCTGCCAGCCATCTTGCGCAAATCGTCAATTCAACTGGCCTGTAAGTGTCCTATACGACGTCCTTCAAAATATTTATAAATACTTAATTAACTATTACTAAAATAAAATTGTTCTAAATGTGATTGCGCATATTATTCAAGGAATGAATAGGAAATTATTAAAAGCTTCTACAAATAACGAAAACGTAGGAATAGTAGTAATGGTAATGGTAGCACAGAGTTAGGAGTTACAAGTGATTTATTGAGGGCTTGAAGACATTCATTTATACAACATAAGAAAACCTTATTCATGTGACTGTAAAACTCAATACACAAGAGTTTTTCAATATATTTAATCTAACCAATTTATTTTATGAGCTTTTCCGATGGCTGGCTATTAGACGTTTGACCTATCAACGATAGGATCACAATATAGTCTTTAGAGTTTCTTCATTGACCTCGACCCTTCTCGTGCCATATGAAGTTTATTAGGGTCCCGTATAAAGTTTTTGATACGCGTTACGTTAAAGATACGAGTTTGATAACTTTGATAAAAAGGTCTTTGATAAAACATATATTAGGATAGTTACGGCTATACACGTAGTACAATTTACTTAAGTGCCAGTTTGTATTTTTTTCGTTTGTGTATTAAATTCGACACAGGTATACAATTAAACAGTGATTTTATAGGAGGTTTTATTAAACGTAGACTTTGAAATGAACGATGAAATCGAAATCGAATAAAGTAAGATATTGTTCTATCTGCTTTACAGAGTATGTACTTTTTAAAACTCGTATAATATTACTGACGCAATTTTATCAGCAGAGAAATGGTTTTGTTTATTTTTACTTTGCTAAAAGGTTTATCTACTTCAATCGGAACGCTATTTATTTCACATACACTCAGGCAAGATTTCGAAATGCTAATGGTCGGTGATAAGTCGTGAAAGTGATGACAACAATATAACGTTTCGAAGGTAGGTGAAAACACTGGTTTAATATTTGATACATTACTAAACAAAAAAAAAAGAATCAATTGAATATCGGATCAGAAGAATGAATTTAAGTAACAAATTCAGGTAGTCTTGTTAAGAACTTATCGATCGAAAGATAATAAAAAAAACATCAAAGAACTCCAATTTATATTTTGTCTAAAGAAGTTGTTTCAATAAGTACACAATTTGTCGGAAGAGGTACTTCTGTTGATAGTCGACGCTTATAACGTTCTAAATTATATAGGATCTGTAAAGTCTGTACTAAAAAACTGAATCTGCATTATGTAGGTAAGGCTACACTTCTATTTATAGCCTTATATCACTTTTTGAACAGAACGTTATAATAATAGTAGTTTTAAGAAATGTGTATGAAATCAATTATGATTTCTTCATTTTGTTTTTTTTTTTTCAAATGCGATATTAACTTCAATTTGCATTGGAAGGTACATTTTCAGGCACAAAGTGAGAGAGATATAACAATTTATTACTGCGCAAATGATGTAGTTTAATATTTGATTATTAGTAGTGCTACTGGTATTTAGGCTAGCATTTGTAACGTGAATAAACTATTACTCGTATATACCAGCTATAATTATTGGCTGTAGCTGAGTTTAAACTATGGACTCCACCAATAGATGCATAAGCTCGGTTTTGTTTTTATAAAGAAGTGTGAACCTGTTTGTTTCTAATCAAATAAAATTATTAACTGTTGAAAATTTAAAGTATTATATACGCCAACCAAAAAAAAGAGAGTGAAATTTTTAAAACTCATTTATGAATGTATGGTGTGAAAAAAAGAAACTGTTAACTTTTTTGTTATATGAACATTTACTAAAAGAGTTATTTTTTTGTCAATCTGTTCTTTTTTTGTTACCTTAAAAATAAAATGTTGACCATAAATGGTCAATGGATTTCTTAGCTCAAAAATGGATTATTAAATAAATAACCATAATACATATTTCTACCGTTAGTATTTTACCGATTTAACTTAGTTTACTTGCTCATAAATTGTGTTATATCTGTTTCATCGACAACGAGTATCAAGATAGTGACACAAAAACAGGGAAATAAAAGCGCAACAGTTGAATATTTTAAAGTTATTTAATGGCGTGTATTGTAACCACGGACCTTTATTTTAGATGGCCTCGAATCACACGTAGAAAGAACTATATTGTCCTAGACTAAATACTGCAGTATTAATGTAGTCGAATGCTAGATTTTAAGGAAGTAATTCGGTACGTACATACAAAAGTATACATTAATAGTCAGTTTTTGCAACTAGTTAACTAAATAAAAATATAATGAATGATCAAGCACATCTTATACTGCGTTACTCTTTACGCCTTTGCGGTACAGTCTAAAATAACATTTTGCTCTATTCCATGATAATGGCTTTACCGCTAGAGTAACTACCGAGCATCAGTCTCGAGTGTTTTTTGTTAAGTGCATTGACTGGAACGGCACGAAACCAAATTAATTTTCGGACCAATGAGAAGCCTAGCTCTGAATCACGGTATGAAAGTTTTCCTAAAACTTAGCTTATATACAGCAGATTCTGTTGTGTTGTCGGGGAGTCCGATGCTGCCGGAAAGACCGGCCTTGGCGGGGGGCCGGACCATATCCTCGCTGTATTGTCATTTCCAGACAGTAGAGAGGCCTCTGCTTCGTGTATCGGTTGTTAATATTAATTTCCGTTAAATTAACTGTATGTATGCGTTAAGATTAGGGACCCTCTTCCTAACCGCTACCGGTCGGCAGCATGTTTGACTTCCTTTTGCTTCCGAAAATGGGTTAATTAAAAATGGAATCTTAAGACTTTTGTATTTTTGTAATACAGAGTTGATCAAATACTTAATATTCCTCTTTTTCATTTCTGATAGGTATCACTATCATTTTTATTTATTTTGTCGTTAATATAGAATAAGTGTAAGAACTCAAGGCAAAGGTCAGAATGGATTTGTGTAAAATAGCAACGAGAGCGTTAGATGTTTCTGTCATTTACTTACGATTTTTTGGATTAATTATTGGAATATGAACTAAATCAATAAAAGAAAAAGTTTTACACATAATAAAATAACATTCTTGAAGTACAGATGAAAGTATGCGTATAATATGTATGCCTTTATATACGCTTTTTAAGGGAAAGTAAAAAGAATAATCTGCAATTTGTAAACAGGACGCATAGGCCTTCACAACACGAAACTGCACGGATGGCATGGCGTAGTGATTAAGGCGGTCGCCACGCCGCGACCGCTTAAATCACTACGGCCGCCACACAATATAAGTAATTAAAGGTTGTGGAAACTGAATTTCAAGCAAAGCTCGGAAAAAAACCGCGAAATTCGATTCCTGAACTATTTATAATATGTACCTACAAATTTCTACATAACCCTCGATAGGCGTCCACTTGTCCAGATTTTTTAAATAATTTATTGTTTCTTTTAATGGTGTGGTCAATTCTGAATCTAATATAAAAAAAAACAAGTAATCTAACGGGAAACATTCACATGACATAACAAATTTAGAATCTTTCATATACGTTTAAGTATTTTATTGCTTTTATTCAGCATAAACGGACTTATCTATTTTTTACGTTAATTTAGGAATTTGATCATTTTACAACTTCAAGGAACCGTATACCTGAGTATTTGGTTGTAATTTCAACCCGATACCTCCACGCGTTCGCGAGATAAAGAGTCTTAACAGACACACAGACAGACAACAAAGTGATCCTTTAAGGGTTCCGTTTTTTTTCTTTTGAGGTACGGAACCATAAAAACCCAAAAATATAAAAGAAGAAAATTATTAGAGTAAGTGGTATAGGTAAGTAAGTAATAATTGAAAACTATTCTATCATACCAAATAATAAAGCTAATTGACAAATGTTTTGTTTTATTTATTTTAACCTTTTGTGGCAACCCTACCAAAATAGATAACAATTTTGTACGCTCTTAAGAAGCTTTGTCTCTGTACCGTCTATCTACTAATTTGGTGCGAGTGCCGGGTCAATCGCATGATAGGTGGGGCAACACCTGCGACTTGCGACACAGGAGTAAGTTTAGGTTAACTTATAAAGAACACTTTTATACATGAAAAGTCGAACCTTGTACCAAATACCTAGGTACCCCACGTGTTCGACCTACCTTACACCATAAACACCTAAATTAAATAGTGGTATACAATTTATTACCTTGAAACCTGAGAGATACAATGGCAGTGGTAAACAAGTATTAGTGCTGCCTTAATTACAGGTTGCCACGGCAAGCATAATAGTAAAAGATAGTTAATACTAAGGCGTCCCTTAACTTAAAAGAAACTTGAGCTGACATTTTCTTACATAAAACTACTTAAAAATCAACAGTAAAAAAAAACAAAATTCTTATACGTATATCTTACGTATAGCTTAACAATAATATAGTTGTTTTTAAAAGAAGGTAGAATGAGCAATAACAATAAGAATCTTGGCTTGTGATAAAATTGTAGTACAAGGTACGTACAAAAGTTTTTAGTGTGTACTAAAGGTACTATTATTGACATATGTCATTTTCCTACTCACTTTTCTAGCTAGCTCACTTTTCTACTTATATAGGTTAGTAAGTCACTTCAATAAATTGCGTCTGTGATGTAATGTGACATGTGTAAATTCATAGATAGCGTTTGACGTAGAAATAACACAACTTTGTTTTATCTTCACGTGTCTACTTTATAGCTGTGTTTAGTTGTTATAGCAAAAATTTTATCAAAATATTTAACCAAGCATTTTTTAAATATTCCATATGACAAAATACTATTTAAAGACGACGCACGCGACTCAAATCGGAAAACAGTTTGATTATACCATAATGTATCACTTAACCTCTCTATGTTTATCATTCATCATTATCCAATGGGCATTAACTGCAAACCTGCATCCACGAGTCTACGATGGCCAAGATTTGCAATCCAATGTCAACCAATATTTAGTTGAATTGGAATTATATGAGTCAAGGTCTCAAGGCGCAAGCTCCTATGGTTGTAGCGGTTCAATTCTAAGCAAAAGATGGGTCATAAGTGCAGCTCACTGTTTTGAAGGTAATATCTTGCACGTCACTGTACAGCGGAATAAAATTGGGCCATTTCGAGAACTCATTGCGGAGGTGGATAGATCCGGTGTAACGGTTCATCCAGACTACGAACAAGGACTTACTACATATAAAAATTTAGAAAACGATTTGGCGCTTTTGAAGACTACCAAAAATATGTTATTTGATGATTTCACTAAACCAATAAGGCTGGCGAGAATCAGGCCACAGGTCGGCCAAACTGTTATTCTTGCTGGTTATGGGAACTCAGATTACGGTACTTCGATACCTCAAATGGGTACTACTCTCTTAACTGAGTGTGAACTTTTAAATCCCGAATTATCTGAATCTAAGTTGTTGTGTACATATTGTACTGTGAGAGCTGGGTCAGGTGACTCTGGTGGGCCGCTAGTATCAAGAGGCATGTTGATTGGAGTTATAAGTGCCGGTTGTGCGGATGAGCATATACATCAGGACTGTACGACTTATTACGTCGACGTAACCCAGCATTTAGATTGGATTAAAAAATTAACGCACATTCCGTGAAATCCTTGTTTCATATTCACAACTGCTAATTAGATAAGCTGTAAGTTAATTTCACTCTAAGTGGAGGTAAGATAGTTTGGAGTAAAAATGTAACTCGTCTTCTAAAGTACTCTAAAAGGTTTTCAATATAGATAGACTACTTACTTCTAAATAAAAACTAAACTTAATATTGATATTGTAAAATGTCTCTATGAACGCAAAAAAATAATATTACATTCTACAGTACACGAATTACACAAACAGTGTACAAAACATAAAAAAAAACAGCTTAATTAGAAGCTTCACTTTAAACCACTTGAAGTCGGTTAAATAATACTCGGGTCATTTCAAAGTTAATTGTACTTCTATTGCCATCCTTTCTTTCTTCATTCATTTATGCCGAATAATAACTCCTAATAACTAATGACAGGTAGGGATTATTCGGCACATATGGGCCGGCCGGAGTTACACCACAGCCTTACAGAAAATGGGTATTAAGTTATTGTTTCCTTGCACTTCACCAAGTGAGTGAAGTTGGCGGTTGGCACTCGAAGTGTGGCCCGCGCCTCTGATTTTTATGTTTCACAGGCCCAAGTGTAAGTTTATTTCACATCTAATCGATCGCCACGGTGAGCATGATCAGCGCTGCGATTGGCCCGCACTTAAATCTGCACCAATCGCAACGCCGAACGCGCTCGATGTCGAGAGCGAGTTGATGTAAAATAAACTTGCACTAGGCCCTCTGGTGTCAATGAGTGAGCAGATGCCCACTCTTCTTGTTTTCCCACTAAACCATGAGAAATGTAAATATGAACGTGACTGATTATTAGTTAACTCTACTAAGTTACAATTATCGACAAAAAATAAATTATTTTAGGCTTATATATATTGTAGATTTACCGTGTAGTGACGGGCGGTAGGATTAAGAATATAGAGTGTCACCACCCCTTTTCATCCCGTGGGTGTCGTAAGAGCCGACTAAGGGAGCAAACTAAGATAAGGGCACTGCAAAGGGAAGAAAATCTTGAAAACACAAACCCTATACACCGCCTTTCTAAGGAGAGCCTGAGTCCTATATCCAGCAATGGGCTAGTAAAGGCTGTTGATGATTATGATTGTAGATTTGATTTATATAAATAAATATTTATTTAAAAATGTTGTTGCATAGTAGTAACAAATTATTATCAAAAACTACTAGCAATATTTTTTGACTTCATTACTACATTTGACACATCTATTTACAACTAAAAGATCTCGTAAATGAAAATATAACAACCTTGTACCCCTTTTTAAGAATATCGCGCTAACGGATGGGCATGAAATTTGTTAGTTAAAGTTCAGTTAAAGTTTATATGGAGAATAAGTGTATATTCTATTAATAAAAAATACATTAAATTAATTAAAATAAACATTACATATACTACTGCTTGAATGACATACAACATACATACTATAATTAGTCTTCTGTTCATGGTTAAAATCTATGGTCAACTGTAGGTTAATTTTATGATAAATATAATATATGATGAAGCCCCATTGATTATAGAGGTATAGACTTTGACAACAAAAACCAACAAATAAATAAATTACACTTTGACAAACTAATAAATTAGAAAACTTAATTTTTTTATTTATGGTCGAATTTCGACCACTGGGCAACCACTAGTACACACATATACTTTAACTATATGAGAACGATTTTGAAACTTGTATAAAACGCACGCTTTACGAACAAGGTTATTATATTATTAGTTGCGTGATTTAATAACTGATCAAAATGCTTGATAAATGCTGTTATCACATATTTTACATATTATATTATGTCAACGATCCGTCCTACCTTACCCGTTTGAAGGGTTATCTGTGATAGCGGTATATGTTACTTTCTGAACCTAAATAGATTATGAATAATCCTATAACATGTTTAGAACTAAAGCTGATATCACGATAAATTTTACCATTAAAAAACATCAAAATGTTCAATTACAATGTCTTAGAGAATTCCTAAGTTTGCAGATCGGTAGATATTGTCCTATGTTTTTGTAAAAAGAGAAACATTTTCGTACACGTCCTTTTATTTGTTATAGAGCTCATTACCTAATACATGGGTGCCTCAGCTGTGTAGAGTAATGTGGCAGTGACTAGAAGGCTTACAAAGCTGTAGTAAGCATTCAATGATGTTAATACACTACATAGTTTTAGAGACCTAGTTTAAAGCCAACACTATGCGCTTATTTTTGGTATTTATGATGTACCTAAATAATTATAATAAAATGGCTCGTTTGAATGAATATATTTTTTTGAAGAAAATATTAATAAATTAATTCGCCAATGAGGAACTTAATGACCGGATCTAACCATGGCTAGCAGCGTTTTCCAAAAAAACTATTTTGTACAATAAAATGTTTTTAACTAGTGAGTAAAAATTTTTAAGTTGATTCTTTGCAATCTTGGCCATTTTAAATAATTTGCAGAGCACAAAAATAAATCTAAGTTCTGAGCCAAGAGGACTTAAGTCTAATGTACAGTAGGACTTTGCTAGTATGAAAAATTAAAGAGATGAAACCGTAGTTACTGCAGCACTCTGTAAAACCCTAGAGGAGTAGAGACTGAGATAAATGTAAAGCAAGGCTGCTTTGTTATACATAGGTTATGAACAATTTTGACAGTATGATCTCCAGAGACAATGGTTTCAATTTTTGATATTCTATTGTACGAGTAATTAAATAATTTTATTTTCTTTATTGTGTTAAGTACATTTTTATAATCTAAAGATAGTTAAATCACAATCATCTATTGAGCATAATGACTTGTACCTTAACTAAGTAAATAATGTTTATTTAACTAATTTAAGCAAGATAACAGCAACACGCTTCCTGGCAAGCTTTTAAGTTATTTATTCTTTATGTATGTACCGTAAAAAAATATTTTTTTACTTCAGTTAGGAAAACCAACGGCTACAAAAAATACATACGTATCTTACAATAGAAGAGACGACAGCATAATTGTAGATACAAAAGGAATTATTATTCTTTACATAACATACATGTCTACAGTATTTCTGACACATTACTTAAATATGATATAGAGTCTAACTAAGAGTGATTTCTGTTATATTAAATTCATGTTGCTTAAGCGTTAAGCTCACTTGATTAAGAATGCACGACATATAGGCCTTTGTAACTGTGCCGTTATGTTTTGCTAATGACTTGGGGTGAGGACATTAATTATTGAGCAACGGTTACCGCATACATCTGCTACGTTTTGAAATATAATGCAGTATTTGTCATGGGATTAGGTACTTTCATAATATACCTATAAGGTTTAACTAATTTAATATTACGACTATACAATATTATATGTACTTATTCTTTTAAATTATAATAATAATAACTTGACCGTTTGATCCCAAACTAGGCGAAGCCTGTGCCAAACATACTTATATATCTAAACACATATTACAGATGAATTACACCCAGACACAAGATATGAACGTGCTTATTACACAACTATTTGTTCTGGGTGGTCCATCGAACAACCTCTGTGACGAATCACTGACTACCAGACCAACAGGCCAGTCGTTTTGGTTTTGTTTAGGTTTTCTTTTTTTTAAAGATAACTCAAGCATGACCTGGCAGGGCTTTAATAATTATAATAAAAGACACATAAAGGGAAGATATGATCGCAGTATAAGACACGAGTAATTCCTACGATCGCAATGTCACAAACACGCGGAGAAATACAACATTTACACTAATCATCATTGGTTATACTCTGGATTAAGATACTAGCTATATCCCGCGGCTTCACTTGCGGGGTTATTTCTTTCCTTGAAAATGACATCCAACCGGTCTTCCTTATTTTACCCCCTTAGGGATGAAATTTCTAAAAATACTTTATCACTGGGTGTTTACAGCATAAGAAGCATCAGCTGCCAAAATTTCAAGTTCGTTAAGGTGTTCGGTTTAGGCCATGCGTTCATGAATCAGTCTGCAGTTAGATAAAAACAGTATTTTTTTATAAAGCGTGAGCTGGTGGAGACTGGTCTCTATTTAAAACTTAGTATCGAAATTCGAACTTTTACTCGAAAATCAAAATAGAAATTATTATCAGAGAAAATACGCCGAGTTAAGACTATAAATATGTACAGGTAAAAGATTCACCGACATTAAGGGCTCATGAGTTGCTATTTACCGTCGCTTACACGAAACTACGAGGAAATTTCCAGAACATTCAGTTGGTGTTTCGTGTAGTTGCGGTCTCATTTAGTTGTTGTCACCTACTAAATAGCGCCTTTCCTTTGTTTTGAGCAATGTGGCGTAAAACAAGTTAAGGTTTGAAACTACTTCAGTATTTTGTACTTTATCCTTTTCTTGTTCTTGAAGTTATATGGTGTTGTAATGTAGGCAGATATGTTGCTAGTATTTTTAATCGATAGATTTTGTACATAAGATAATATTGTGAAATAAATGACAAGAAACAGGTGAATTAAATTTTATGTATAAGTGTATCTTAACCTCACAGAAAAGTTAGGTCAAGGTAATCTGCTGATGTTAAAAATGAAGAATATCAACAAAATATTATTACGACGGGCCTTTTGGTCTAGTGGTTAGTGACCCTGACTGCTAAGCCGGAGGTCGTGGGTTCGATTCCCATCCAGGACAAATATTGTGTCATGAGCAAATGACTGCAATTGTTCTGTGTCTAGGTATAATTTATCTATAATATGTATGTATTTAAAAATATATAAGTATGTTTATCAGCAGTCTGGTTACCACAGCACAGGCTCTGCCTAGTTTGGGATCAGACGGCCGTGTGTAAGATGTGTGTCGTATATATTATTATTTTGGGTTTTAATTTTTTAATCCTCAGCTTTTTAGCTGCTTCCACCGTATTTACGGGCCTAAACCAAATAAATACAGCATGTGATGTGTACATTTTCTTGGTGTGGTGTCATCTAAATGCATGAATTTTCTGATGATTCTACATGTGTTTAATATAGAGGAATTCTGATAAACTTA